GAATGCCAATCCCCTCGATAAGTGTGGCCAGCATTCAGCAGTCAGTTGCATTTCATTATTATTGTTACGTATTTTAGTGTGTACATTACTTATAGACTTTTTTTTTTATTAATGATCGAATTTATTGCACACTTATACCGCTTATAAGACGCAGTATGTTCTCTCAATCATTTTCGACTGTCCTCTCAAGAGGCCCCCTCAATTCTGATGTCTCAGCTGCCTGAGATCCTCGTTGTATTGCCTCGGCGTGGACCTACAGAAAACGCCGTCCCTCAACAACGGTTCCATTGTTGGGCTTTGCCGCTGAAACTTATTTATCGAGTAGTTACGTAGCAATGGATATCTCCTCTGGCCCAACTATTCCTGCTTTCAGGCGTCATGTCACATTAAGGCGGTTCCACATTACTCGTGCTCGTGTGTCAGAAACTTACTGCTGATATCTGTCGTGAAGAAATGCGAAGGCTCTGTATACAAACCAGTTTTGGCGTCCACTTCGTCAGCTCCAGATCCTGATTTTCCGGCAGCAGTAAGCTTCTGACACACGAGCACGAGTAATGTGGACGGATCTTTATGTTCTCCTCGAGTTAAATCCTCTAATACTTCTTTTAGATTCACCTCTAAGTAGTGCTGAAGTCTAGAATACTCGGCTCTACACGTCTACTCCCCCATACGTATTCATGGCTTAGTGCTTACTTAGTTAAGCACAGGGACAACTTTACCTTACTGCTTCTTTTAGGTATTGTATCCTCCTTTCAAAATATATCCGTGGCAGTAATCTAAAATGACTGCGGGAAAACATGAGGAGTCACTGCTGAGTTAGCCGGTCTCTCGTCGGGATTCGTAGTGGAGGTGAATAAAAAGAAGCTCATAATTATGAATGTTATGTGGACTGCGAACGAGTCGAAGCGGTGTCCTCGAAACAGGCTACTAGCCACAAGGTTAGTGAGTGGCAGAGAAAGCAAAGCAGTAAAGCCCGTCTGAATGTGGAGTGTAACGGTGTCGCGAAAATTTCTCGAGAATTCCGGAAAATTGTTGTGGCCGACAGAACTCTGTACTAGAATGTGAAAGGTTTGCGTAAAGGGCTATCCAAAAGAAAAAATACAGTTCAGTTATTGACAATCTGAAGTAAGCTTAACCATTCTTCGCCTTATATCTTGTCGATTTACTTGTAAGTGTCACTGTGTACAGTAGATAAAGCTTTGAAGAATGTATACAACTCAGAGTAGGTTCTGTATGGGTGTGAAACTTGGTCTATGACATTAAGGAGGAACATAAACTGAGGGTGATTGAGGACAGGGTGTTGAGGAGTATATTTAGATCGAAGAGAAATGAAGTAACGGGAGGTTGGAGAAAACTGCATAATGAGGAGCTTCGTAACTTGTACTCTTCTCCAAGTGTAATTGGAATGATCAAGTAAATGAGGATGAGATGAGCAAGTTATGTAGCACGAATGAGGTGAAGAGGAATGAATATAGAATATTGGTTCGAAAGTCAGAAGGAAAGCGACCACTAGGAAGACTATGACGTAGGTGGATTAGTTAGTTAGTTTTTGGAGAGGGTGGGTTTCCCCATGCACTGAGACCAGTATTGGTCCATTGTGCTTCCCTCTATGATATTCTNTGGAGTTAGTGTAGTTATATCACTCGGAGTAAGATATTAAGTTTGTTCATCTATTTTCGAACAAAATGCTGGAATAAGGATTATACTCGCATCTATGAACTCTTGTCACAACAATTGCACATCGCCTTAACAGCCATGAGTTCGGTACACATTGAAGAAAAATTTCTGGCTACCCCTTTTTGGAAAATTGGCTGCCCTTAGAAAATTTTCTTATAGTGCATGGCTATCGAATCAACCTAGTGATAACATTCGCAGCTGTGATAACCTCAGATTCTACCTTCTGGCGTGGAACACGGGTGCATTAAACAAAAGGGGTAAATGGGCAAGCTCCAGTATGTTTCTTCAGACGTAAACCTGCCTGTGCCGAATTGGATCGAATGAGGAACGGAAAAATATTCAACACTGTCTGGATTCCGTTATAGAGAGGCTTCAGTATTCATACGACGAAGTGTGCTAGTTAAGTTCCATTTTGGGTTGGTATGAATGGGGGCACGCGGTAGCGTAGTTGGTTGAGGCACTATGCTACACGCCGGTTGGTCGCGGGTTCAAGTCCCGATGAGGTCATTTGATTTTTTTTTCAGTTGATCTAACCCTTCCAGCCGCACTATGGCCCAGGGGTCGACTCAGCCTCTAACTGAAATGAGTACCAGGAATTAATTAAATACTTTTCCTGAGGAGTAAAGCGCGGCCGGCGCGTAAGGCTGACAACCTCACCGCAATCTGTGAGCCGATTGTCTAGATAATGTGGGAGCCTGAACGTCTCACAACCCTATGGGCCTTCACGGCCTATTACAGGGATAGCTTTCCCTTTTTTCTTTTTTTTCCCCCCTGAGAAGTAAAATGAATGGTTGGTTGTCTAGTTTCCGACTCCCTTCAGGACGACTTTGGGATGTTTCTTTTCACTTTCTTGCTCAGGGCACAATCTAGTTTCGCGGCCGAACGTTTCCGCATGTGATTAGAATGGATCCAACAAGAACCACAGAAATTTTCAGAAAGTAAGCCAGAAGGAAAATAAATAGAAGGTCCGGAGTAAGATATTTGGAAAATGTTGAGAATGATTTGCGAGAGCTGACCCGAACAGGTTGGTATAGTCTCTTAGACTTGTATTCAGGAAGATACTCAGTTCGAATCTCAGCTGGGACACCAGTTATCGAAACTGAGATTTTTCGTTGATTTTCTCAATTCCTCCAAGCAAATTCAGGGATAGTATCCCAATTAGCCACAACCCCTTCCTACCAAACACTTTCCAATTTTTCGTTCATCAATCATCCTGCCATACGATGCTATATTCAAGGTACTGTGAGGGTCTTAACACAAAACACAAACCACTGAAATACCCAGTCGAGAGCTGAGAGTGAAGAGATGAAGGCTAGGGAAAATTATAAGTAAAATGAGCATTTTTCGTAAAGGAGAATAAGCTTCTTAAAGGACCATAGAACTAATGAATAAGTCAATTATTAAGTCTCGTGCTCCCTGGATGTTTTCCCCAGTTCTACTTGCACCTAAATTGAAATAAACCCAGTCCCCTTTTCCCACATTGCTCTCGAGTATGTAAGCAACAGTTCGACACTGTAGCATTACGATTGTTTAAATATTGGTTAGGACATATGAACCGCATATTTGTGTCGATGTGTGTCGGTATTGCACTTCACCACAAGACTTTCACTGGTTTTAACTGCGACAACTGTCGGTATTTGCTGTCGTATGTCTGTGTGTGTGTGTGTGTGTGTGTTTTAACTGAAAAGGCACTGCTTCTTGCTGCTGATGAAAGTACATACAGACACTCGCCAAACTGTCTCCTGTTGTTTGCAAGAATTCCATCGCTGAAAGTTCCTGCAGGATGTCTGGATCATTTCTCTCCATTCTTCCGTCTCGCAGGGCACGTCTACATACTCGCTATTCTTCCAGAAAACTGATGTTGCTTTCTAGCCAACATAAAACTAGCAAAATTCCCGTTAAAAATTCAACGGAAAGTCTCTTCATTTATTATTGTTTACAGATTAACTGCAGTTTTAATCGCGATAAAAATGTTTCGATGATGAAACCAAGTACCACCTCCAAGAAAAAGGGATGTTTTCAACTTTTCCTCATGAAGCATTTGGCCCCGTCCCGTTACAAATCACGGTTTCACATTGCTCCATTTTCAATCTTGTTTCCGTTCCTCCTTTTCCTCTACCTGCACGCTAGTTTTCTTGAGCAGCTTACTCTTCTTCAATTAAGATGGGAGTAACAGGTTCTCCCGAAACGTTGGTGATTTTCTGATAGAATCTGCGGTGTCATGTCCCAGAAGACAGAAATTTTCATATGCAGGTATATACAAAGACCATAGTCTCTCAGTCGAACATTTTTCAAACATAGGCCTAATATTTCATCAACTATATTCTCGAACAGAAAAATAAAAAAAGAAAATGTACCATGGTCTTGTTTAATTTAACACGTTTAGAGAAGGACGGAATAGAATTGATGGATTTAGTTACTCCTCCCAGCTTATGGCATTGTATAATGAAGATTTATGAGCAAATAAAATTAGCAGACAAAGCGTACTTATTGAAGGATCGAGATAAATGTCAATAACAAGCTTATTTTCGAACCATAAGAGAATCTGTTACTCCAGTCCTTTTCCCCTTTCACAGGAATATAAAATCGGGTTATTCGCTGCGGAATAATTTAATTTGTAAAATAAAATAATTTCATCGGGTGTGACCATTGTTCACTCTCGAAAAAAAATCGATTATTTCATTCATTGTGGTCTCCATGGGACTGGTATGGTTGTTAGCTGCAAACACAGTCGTCAAACACGTGGATTTAACAGACAAGGAATGCCGAGTGTTGAAAGACGTTACAAGAAGATCAAAAGCTCAGTAATATCGGATGGTACATAGTATGTGATCTCAGATGGCGCGAAAGCACATACTTGAAACTTGAAGCATAAAAATGCTAGTACAGCAAGTCAATGATGGGGTTCGGCAGGTGTGTGACGTGGATCAGTGTTAACGTAGATCAGATCCAATGCGTGGTATAGATTTGCGTACTAGAGCTGGGAGTTTAGCAAAGGTTCTGCGGAGAAAAAATTACATGACGAAAGAATAAACAAGACAGGTCTGTGCTATAAATTGCAGCATTACAAACCTACCATGCATTTACTGTCAATTTAGTCTGGCGTATTAGCTTACATTAATGTACTTAGGCTCAACAGCACAATGTACATAAGTTACTGTAAATTACCTACTCATATATCTAAGATTCGTCGTTATTACCGGCCATCTCCTCTTAAATCTGCATTCGGTTGGAATCATGCGCAAAAATCATGGATCAGGCAGTATATAATCCGTGGATGTCACGCAAGGACCTGAAAAACACCGCTGGTATCACGGATCCCTATCGAGATCATCTGTGAGAAGTGTACTTGTGATGCTAGTGATGATGGAAGTTGATTTTACAACATTTAGGTTATAAAGGGAATCGTTGAAATGAATGTCATAAAATTGGACTGCATGCGATATTTATGTCGCCAAATCAGTGCCTCGAGTAGTTTGTTCTCTTACAAAAGTGCAATTAGTCTAGAAAATATTTATCCCAGTAGTAGTCTTAAGCTTACTACTCCTACAGAGGTTTGTTTTTAAAAAATTTGCTGTTCAGTACTAAATGATGAGGGTAAATCTAATAATGGGGTTATATAACGCTGCTAGAATCAAATTATATTGCCAGACTTATTTACTTCCTTTCGAACTGAGAAGTGTAAAGCGTTGTAAAATCATCCCCATTGAAAGGGAAGCCACATCTAAAAGCACAAAAAAGCTTTGGGAGGAACAAAAATATGAGTACCGACAAGGACCGAAACCAAGGTTAACTGCCCCAACGAAGACCCGCAGCAATTTACCCCACCTACTATATTATTTTGGGGCTGTAACGTAACGTAATATTTAGTGTAACGATTACAGTTCATCTGCAATTTCCTCACAGGGTTTTATTTCCCAGTTTAGTATAGTGATGATAATTGCCTAGAAACAGAATGGTGTGTAACGAAAATCATTGAACCTAGAATGTGGTACTTACCCAAGTAACGTAATAATGATAAGATAGTTCGTTTTCAGTTTATTTTTAGGATAAATATAATTATATTAGTGTTGAAACTATTCTATTAAAGGAGGAAGCATTTGAAATTTCTTTCATTAGAGAACTGACTGGTTGTCAGCAGTCACTGGTTTCCATCTTGTGTGAAACTGTTTTCTTGTTTAGATCAGATCTGAATAGAGAAATTATCAGGTACAAGGGAGATTTGAAGTTCTCATGGCCGCAGCTGTGACGATTAATATCTTCTGGGATATGACCATTTGTAGTCTTGTAGATATTTACTGCCATTTCATAGGAACATCCTGCCTCCATTTTTTGGATACAGGCAGAAGAGGGATGTAGCAAGTTCCTTTGAGGCATTAATACCCATCTTCTGGACTACAAGGTATCACTTCCCAGAAGACAGTAATTTAAAATTCACTGCTGTGAGAGCTTCTGATCTCAAAAATAATGTTGTTTTTGGCATTTCCAGGATTTTCAGCAAATAAATTGTATTTCAAAGTGAATGTTAAGAAGTTCTACATGCATCCATATGCTGAAAGTTCTGGATCTTAGAATTTAAGGAGTTTACAAGGTTTAGTAATAAGTAAATATTTTGTTTCAGGTGCCGGTAGATCCCAACTGCCCCAATTTTTCAGGTTTCATACCAATAGGTGAGTTTCCAGCCTTCTTGCATTTATATTTTCAGTGCATGAACCACAATACTGTGTCTCCAAGAATCTCTTCCAAACTCTAAACAGATATGATGTTGGAGGAAACATGGTGCTAGATATATTCTCTATAATGTTACACCTGGTCATTCACTGTGTGATGTTATAACTGCCCTCCTGTAATTTGATATGGCTGTTAGGATGGATACCAGGGTTGTGCCGGCTTGCTGCACTGGCTCATAAGACTGGTATCTGAGGGTCTGAACTTGGCCCATGTTGCACATATGGCAGAAATTAATAATTGTGTGCAGTTATAAGTAATTAGGCAACAAATAAATGTTTCAATACCTGAATATTTAATTTCAACATCTGTAGTTCAAGTAGGTTCCACACATAAGTGACCAATGTATAGATTCATTCCTTCATTGTACACAGTTTTCTTCACACAACTTGTGATTTGCACTTTATGTCCGCCATGTGCAGGGGTAATGGCTTGAATGATTATGTTGAGGTTTATCAGTTCTCACAGAGGAATAATATTTTTGGATGTCTAACCTAAACCATTAATCTGTTTTACACAGCAGCATGCTGGTCGTCTTCCAAAAGATAAGTCAGGTTGACTAGGTACAATATGCATGTGTTATAACAGGGCCTTAATTACAGAGCACCACCCTGCCTTCCTCCTGCATTGTAGCTGGAACCACTGCTGTGCTGCTTGTCATACTACTCCATATTTCCCCTCTTGTGCATGCCATAGGCTGCATCTGAAAATATGGCCTATATCAAATAATTTATTGAGTGTACAGCTCATAATAACTTGCTATATATATATGAGCAGCTTGGCAACCATCATTGGCTTTTTTATATTTTCTCTTTTGGGCCACATTACAAGGCATGTAACTTTTACGTTATTATGATGGACATTGGGGCACCCACAAGCTGTAGCAGGCAGGATTCTGGTAAAAGAACATATACACGCATTACAAAACGGACACCAGCAGCTGTCATACTATGAGGTAAGGGGTTTGCAGTTTGCAGTGACCTCCTTTTTAGTCATGTGATAACATCACAATCAAAGAGCCACAGAACTTTATTGTAATATTGGGTACACTACAAACATGCTTGTTTATTTACTATTTTTTTATTGCTAGTGGGGTGGGACTAAGTCCCTTGTACTGCGGCCACTTCTGGCCTATTGTACCTGCCCCAGATGATAGGTGAGGATGATTGTGGAGCAATTGGTGGAATGAAGATTGGCAGGGGAAACCGAAGTACTTAGAGAAAACCTGCCGCAGCGCCACTTTGTCCACCACAATTCCCAGTTGACCAGACCCGGGATCGAACCTAGGCTGCCGCGGTGGGAAGCCAGCGACTAACCGCTTGAGCTGTGCCACGGCCTGTGTTTATTTACTAAAGTTGTTTTTAGTTAACAGTGCTTTCAGTATCTCAGGCTACACAGCAGGCATGGCCAGACTCTGCATCACTGGCTTCCTGCAACCCGTTAGTACAGCTTGCAGAAAAGAATATTAGCCAATTCCTTTTTTATGAATGGATTAAAAAACACCCACTGCATGGGAAGGTGTACCTGGACACTTGTTATGGCTCCAAAAACTCTGAAAAGAAAATTTTTTGGTTGGTTGTTTTCCAGCATCATAGACTATATAGTGTCAAATGATAGGGTGATAGGTGTGTGATGAATTGGAAAGGATTTGGAAGGAAGCAGTCATTTCCAAAGTGAGATCCTGCTGTGGTATTTCCCTTCAGGGAATGATGAAAACCATGAAAAACCTCAGTGGTAATAGATAGTGCCCCATCCAAGATTCAAACTGGTCACCTCCTGAGTACAAATCAAGAGGGCTGAATGTATTATATATATGTATGTATGTGCGTAAGGGGTGGGCCATAAAATCCGGCCCTTGCACTGCGACCTTCAATGTCCTATTGTGCTTCCTCTTTGGATTAACCCCTTATTAATCCTTTACTTCAAATGAAACGTAGGACTTTATTTATGGGGGCATCATAAAAGTCACTTGGTTCCATGAAGAACTGATCCAGTTGATGAAATCTTAAGTAAGCTATGGCCTCACAATCACATAGGATAGAATTACTGCATTACTGCTCGACCAACCTGTTTGCCTTGAATATTATATGTGGTGGCAGTCATCAATAAGTTTTCCCCTCACCTGCTGTATAGCATTGAGTTATTGGTTAACAGCGAACAAGAGATTGGAGAGGATGTGGAAGGAAGTGGTTGTGCCAGTTTACACACTCGGATTTGAAACTCAGGCCTACAGGCTTTGAAGTAAGAGTGTTGCACACTAGTCACGATGTTTGGTATGCAGTGTGTACTAATGTGAGCNGAAGTGGTTGTGCCAGTTTACACACTCGGATTTGAAACTCAGGCCTGCAGGCTTTGAAGTAAGAGTGTTGCACACTCAGTCACGATGTTTGGTATGCAGTGTGTACTAATGTGAGTGGTGTCACCTGTATTTCAGACAAACTTCAGGTAACATACAGCAGAAGCACTGGTCCTGGCGGTCAGAATGTCAACAAGGTCAACACAAAGGTCGATCTCCGTTTCCATGTTGCATCAGCTGAGTGGATATCACAGGATATTAAGCAGAGGATCCTAGACGAAGTAAGACTTATTTATTAAATTAGTGTCATTGGATACTGATTGTTCAATGGACAGAGCTGTGGACTTTGCCTCCTGGTTTTAACTGTCATCATCATCATCTTAGCAGCCCTCTGTGATCCTGGGCCTTTTGTAGCAGTTCTTCCAGCCAGCTTTTCCACTTCATGGTTACAGATTTCCAATCCCTGTCCCCAGGAATCCTGATCCATGCTGTCTGTCAGTCATAGCTTTAGCTTTTTGAGTCTTCTGAATTTCTAACCTCAAACACTTTTTTTTTTTCAGATCTATTTTCCAGCACTATCAGCATTTAAACTATATGGCGCCAAATGTAGGATGATAGGCAAATTGGGAAGGTAGAAGGAAGCAGTAGTTTTCAAACTGAGATTCTTTATGAGTTATTTAATGATACTGACAGAATCTCCACTGCTCTAGCATTATGTTCTAGGATCACTGATGAATTTGAAAGGATTCAGAAAAAGGGAGTTGTGGCCTAATTGATGTACTGTTTTGTCCTCTCAGAAAAGATTGAATAAATACACAAATAACTGAAGTATTCTCTTGGAACTTGCATGGGGAGGAAGGAGGGAGACTGAGGAAAACCATGCAAAACCTTGGTCAGGATGGCTGGTGTTCTATATGAGATCTAAAACAAGAACCTCCCAAATACAAGCCTGGAGTGTTACTGCTAGACCATCCTGCTCAGTGACACTTCTCCCCCACCCACCCTTGTAACTGCGGAAGTACTGAAATAAAGGTTAAATGAAGCAAAGATGGATAGTTCTAAATAACATGACATGTATGTTAGGGAATTTGATGAGGAATTGCCGTCAGATGGGGAATTTAATATGAATGGATGTAATTGTGGTTACTCTGACAGTGAATCTGAACTTAATAGTAAGAAAGAATGGTACTGTAGGAAGGGAACAGTTTGCATAATGATATACTAGACTTTATGAGAAAAGCGGCCCTGTGTATCATATGTAGTGTTAACTGGCTGGTGAGTGTATAAATTTGAAAAAAACAAACTTTGTCACTCTGTAAGCAGACAGGTGTCAGGTCAGAGATGAATCCCCCAACTGAGGACATAACAATGTGCTGCCTGCTCATGGCTGTCGCACATCTCAGGGGGCTGTGATAGATGAGTATAGAGTAATGGTAGAATGATGACCTGCAGTGGAGAACTGAAGAAGTTTGGAGAAAGGCCTTCCCATATCTTCTGCTCTACATCATATCTGCAACAAGGAGCCAGGAGCTAACCTCCTGTGCTTGGCACTGCCTGTACAAATTTAAATAGCTCAAAAATTTCCGTGGATGTTTATCATTCTTGTTTGTGGATTCGTTTAGGAATTATTATGAAATATTACCTTAACTCTTTGAAGCCAAAATACATCACATTGTATATAGGAATTCGTTTCATACCTCATGGAAACATACTCTATCGCTGTTACAAACACCACCTTCTTAATGTTGTTTAGAGGGAAGAAATCACTGTTTGTTTTGAGAATCATACAGCGTCTGTAAATGTACTTTGTAACATTAAGTTGGGCAGTACACACAATAACCAGTCTGCTTTGAATCCTCAATGTGTTTATGTTCTTTCACAGTCCTAGAAGGTCAGGAGAGCCGATCTTATGATTGAGAGTGTGTATGTTTCAGCACAGTGCTAAGATAACAAAAGAAGGTTTCCTGGTGATCCGTTCTGATAAGACACGATTCCAGCAGCTAAACTTGGCAGATGCTCTAGAGCGGCTGCGAACTCTAATTCGAGCTATAGCTGAGCCACCAAAGGAAGTTTCACCAGAGACTGAGGAGAAGCTGCGGAAGCGGTAAGTTGTGAATTGCTGACTTACCACATCGTTCTTAGGGTCAGACAGTATTATGAAACGTTTGTTAAGAATGATCTTCCTTCAAAGTAAGATGCATATAACACTAACATAATTAGGGTTTTATATGACAGAAAGATCTTAAATTGAAGACGAGTAAGTGAATATTTCACTTTACTGAAGTAAATACAGAATAAAGAATATGTTGATTCTAAAGTGTTCTGACGATGGTGGGTTTTTGGACTTTTATATAAAATGGTATTCTAGAGAATAGAAAACATGTTTCAGAAACTGATCTGTTTCCATCCTCAGGTGAAGGGGGAAGACACCTGTTCAGTTAGCTCTTTGTAAGGGACCCAACTGAGTAGGATGAAAACAGATCAGTTTCTGAAACATCATGATTTCTAGTCTCTAGAATACCAAATGATGGAAAAAGACAAACCTACTAATTCCAAAGAATATGTTGTTACAGGAGAGAAAAAACATTCATTTGAGACTGGTGTAGAAGAGGAAAATATCCTTAACAAAGTAGCAGTGGCAGTCCCTATCTGCAGATTTAGTGCCAATTCTGCATACAGTGTAGTCCTTATTTAATGAATCTCTGGAGTAATAGCTTTTCTTATTCAAAATTGGCGTTTTCACTAAATGGAGACTGTAAAATTATATCAGGAAACTCTTCACTTTCTTTGTGAAGTTAACAATATATGTAATAAAGTAATTTCCTTTATGTAAGTAATTAAAGAAATTTTCTATCTTCACAAAGAAATAATAGTACATAATCAGTAATATCAAATCCTTCCATATATTCATTCATCAGTAATCTTTCAAGACGACAGGTCCACAATCTCTTCCAAAACAGTTCCTCCACTTAATGCAATCTAGAGCTTTCTCCTTCAGATGAGAATATCCTCTTCTGTCACCAAGGTGATCCAGCATCTTCTTATGTCTTCTTCCTCGTCTTCTGGTCACTTCTATCTGCCCCTCTGTCTTTCCTTCAATAACTTATTTTAGAAGGCAGTTACTGCGTAAGATATGACCAATCCAATTAGCCTTCTATTTTCTTATTTCATGTAGAATAGTCCTCTGCTCACTGACTCTAAATAACACTTCTTCAGTTCTCACATAATCGGTCGAACTGATCTTCTCCATCCTTCTCCAACACCACATTTCGAAGCTTTCCAGGTGTTTCTGATCTACTGCCCTAAGTGTCCAAGTTTCAGCCCCATATATATATAAGTAAATAAAGTAATTATGAGGTGAAAGCTTGGAAAATATAGAATATTGGGTTTCCATAGCAGTGAATTGTTGAGCGTTAATATGTTGTATGAAGCTAGATTATGTAGTAGGTCACAAACAAATGAGCAGTCTTTTGTTTCATTGAATTATGTCTTTGCTGTGAATAGTGCTAATATATTGATGTGAATCTGTGAAGTGTAGTATGATGTATAAAGGTGATTTGCGTGTTGTGCATGGGAGGTGGCATTAAATGCACACCGGATGCTTCATTCAGTAACACGGTGGACTGTAAACGAATATGGGAGAAAGTAAGAGAAATTCATACTAGCTTCTGTAACAAATAGCGAGACTTTCTGTTGAATTTTCAACACTAGTATTACATTAAATTCTGAAATAATTAATGACATATGAAATTCTGAAAGAAGTTCAGGCAAGAATCAAAGCAACTGTGGTGCCTCAAACATTCTTTGCATATCCGGTATTTGATACCACTACAGATATTTTGGTTGTGTTGTAACGTCCAGCAGAAAAATATTGTTTTTTCAACGACCATCATCATCAGTAGTCTGTCAAGACGACAGGTCAACGGTCTCTTCCAAAACAGTTCCTCCACTTGATGCAATCTAGAGCTTTCTTCTTCAAATGAAAATATCCTCTTCTGTCCCCAAGGTCATTCAGCATCTTCTTATGACTTCTTCCTCGTCTTCTTGTCACTTTTATCCGCCCCTCTATCTTTCCTTCAATAACATCTTTTAGAAGGCAGTTTCTGCGTAAAACATGACCAATCCAATTAGCCTTCCATTTTCTTATTTCATGTAGAATATTCCTCTGCTCACTGACTCTAATTAACACTTCTTCATTTCTCACATAATCGGTCCAACTGATCTTCTCCATCCTTCTCCAATACCACATTTCGAAGCTTTCCAGGTGTTTCTGATCTACTGCCCTAAGTGTCCATGTTTCCACCCCATACAGAGCTATGCTCCAAATGTAGCATTTCACTAATCACACTAAATTGCAGAACAAGTTCTTAAAGGTAGAAAAATTTCTTGCACCAAATGTGGGTCATTTCTTCAATCAGAATTCACTGAATGTTGGAGAGTAGTGCATTGTTTCTGTTGAGCTTTGGCTGGGACCAAAGAAATATTTACCAAATGCAGGATTGCTATATTTTAGTGTCATTGTAATACATGCCATTGAGAATTGCTAACAGTTAATATATTGTTTCAGGCGAGAGAAGAATGCTCGTTTGAGGCTAGTGGAGAAAAGGGAAAGATCCTCAACAAAGCAGCAGCGGCAGGCCCCAACCATAGATTTCTAGTTACAGTCCCTAACACTCCCATGACATGTTCCCAAACCCTTTCCTTTTGGAGTGTTTCTGATGTAAATATCTGACATAGGTCTACCATGAGAAGCTCTCTGCCACCGACCAACGAATTTACTGTCACTTTATGATCATATATCAAATGTAATGTGTATGCTCTTACCTTTTCAGTAGTTCATATTGTCATATGTATCACAGGGAGTAAGTCGCAGGTCTGGATTGGTAATTGGATACTTACAGGCCGTAACTACAAATAATTATAACCCTATTGCTGCTTTACACTATGTACAATCACTCCACACTGATCTCTTCAATCTATCTGCAGTAATCTTCACGGGAGCTGTAACAATCTCACTGAATCACGCTCCAAATATTATGCATAAATAAAGTTATCTAATCAAATGTCTAGACTTAACAGGCCAACTTCTAGTTCAACTACAAACTTCCCATGTCTGTCTCCTTGCTCACTTGTTCACGTGCTTCTGCCTCTATTATTCATAAGTCAAAGTCACATTGTGACTGATGGTCAGTCAGTCAGTCAGTCAGTCAGTAAGCCTTGGTGTTGAGCCCCATGCGGAGCTCATGACCAGATATTTATTACTGTTTGACAGTTACAGTCTTGTTTCTGTGGGGTGACATCTCAGACTAGAGGACCGGTCTGTCTTTTGTATGTGCTGCTGGCTCTTGCCAGCAGTCTTTCTCGTGTCCGAGTCCCTTAGTACTTGCGGCCATATTTTATTGTCTCACACTTGAGGCTTCCCTTTTCGTCGCCTTTCTCAGATCCTAGTGTTAATTATAAGTGTGAGATTACTTGTATTCTGACCTTCTAAGGGTTGAGCCAGGATTGCTCATTTGGTATAGCGATGGACTGTGGGCTGGCCAACCAGGGAATCAGAATTTGATTCCTGGCAGATGCGAGATTTTCTATTCTCCACTGTGTCCAAACTGGCTGTGGAGCCACCCAAGTTCCTAGCTAGTGGATACCAGGGCCTCTTTCCTTTGGGATAAAGTGGCCAGGTTGTTAAGCTGACCTCTCACCTTTGCCTAGTGCTGAGGTCAAGAATATGTGGATATACACTCTGTGTTATATATATATATTTGTATGTAGTTCCACTTACCTTGGATCAGAAGTTAACTGTAAAAATGATATCAGTGATGAAATAAAAAAGCGTGAACTTGCAGCAAATAAATGTCTCCATGGCCTTAGGAAACACCTGAAATCCCAATTAATACCCAGGGAAACCAAAACTATGATGTATAAAGTACTTATAAGATCAGTGCTATCTTATGCCTCTGAGAGCTGGCCACTGTCAGGATCGGATGAAAGACTGTTAAGTATATCTGGAAGGAGGATCCTGAGATATATCTTTGGACCAGTGGAAGAAAATGGAATATGGAGGAAGAGGTATAACCATGAGCTATACAAACTATTTAATGAACCAGACATTATTGGATTTATAAAGGTGAAAAGGCTTGAATGGGCTGGACACATAATATGTGCCAGCGAGAATAGAATGATTAAGAAAATACTTAATACTAAACCAGAAGGAAATAGAAGAGTGGGAAGAACAAGATTAAGATGGGAAAAATGTGTGTGGCAGGACATAAGAATTTTGGGTGTAAAGAACTGGAGGAATGTAGCATCGAATAGAGAAGAATGGAGAGTAATCCTGAGGAAGGCCAGGGCTCACATAGGGCTGTTGTGCCAGTGATGATGATATATACTTATATATGTATATATCCACTCCCCCATCTTTATGGACTACTGCTTAAATGATTGAGCACAAGGATAGCTTTGGCCTGTGCTGATAACATGTGAAACAGGTTGATGTGGCAGGCAGTGTAGTGTATTCAGTAGCTTTTTAGTACAGATCTCAGCTGGGACATTAACTATCCTGACTGAAGTTTTCGTGATTGTCCTTAGTTCCATCATAAAGTGCCATAATAGTTCACTAGGCCAAATCCTTTCCAATTCTTTATCATACCATTTTATGCTATTAGTCACATTTGTTTCATGCCTTGTTATGTTAGTAAGATATATATATATATGAATTGTTTATTTTTAAAATGTTGATTTGTTAGTGATTTGGAGATATTCACATTCTTATCCATTTACATTTACATCTGACTATGGCTGGAGTTAACCATTTCATCTATTGATACAACTGGTTGTGTTCTTAAACTCATTTTGATAGTAGCATGACCACGTTAATTACCCTGATGCATATTAAAATTGGGTCATATTTAGTTAGATTTAGAAGGGCATTAGTCATGAGGAAAAATAATTTGTTAACTGTAATATTGTGCATGAAACATGCAGCCAAACAATAATTCACTCACAAATATCAGCAACCATAAAATCAGGTTTTGTGTTTCTCCTGTAAACTTTGGCCCCAGTGTCTCATGCCCTTTTCAGAATAAAGAGTTTAAATAGGTAAATAATAATTGACACACACAAGGAATGTTTTACTTTCAACATGTGTGGAGGGTAATGATGTAGAATCCATACATAATTTTGGTTGTAAGACCTGTAGGGAAGGATTGTTTAGGAGATGTTATAACTAGAAGGATAATCTGAAGTGGTGCACCCCTTAATAGAATGATGATGAATTGACACAATTTATGACAAAATGTACATGAGAATGGTCATGTAAGGCCGAAGCATTGTGTTCTTGACGATAACACTTGTATTAAAGACGTCTGTAAGGATGTAGCGATTGAAACGTTTACGAAAATAGAAAATAAGGAAGGAATTGCGAAGCCATGGGTTGCTGTACTTTCAGCTGCTGGGATACAGTAGTTAACGTTTTACCGATTCTTCAACGAGTGGTTTCTTTTACTTGTAGGGAAAAAATGTAAATAAAAAATGAGGCCTAGGCAATTCCCGACCGTCCTAACGACTGCTTCATATTATCGGTGTAGTGTGCGACATCTTTCATCAATAATTTGGACTATTTGCTTTAGTTCTAGTAGCTTCGCTGATTTGAGCTTAGGTGTCGCTAGTGCATCGCTTCGCAGCGAATACGTGCCTCAAGGGTAGCTCGGCAAGTTTTGTCTAGCGCAGTCTAGCGATCCGTGCAGAGTCATCATTTTGTAGAGGCTTTCGCAGATGGCAGAGCTATTTAATTTTCGATACATATCGATGCATTCGCAACGAATATGAAAGTTGATCGATCGGCGTTCCAAATAAGAGAGGTCACAAAACTTGAAAAGAATATACTTAAAAAGTGCAGAATTCGTCATAAATTGCTTTATGTATATATTTAGTTTTATAGACGATCGAGAAGGGTATCCTTGTAACATATACTAGCAATGTCGTACAGGGATTTAAGGAGTAAGTTGATTCATCTGTTTAACCTGCTTACCCTGTTTTTTGATTCGTGTACCCATTAATTTTTGTTGAGGTCGTATCTTTTTTAGTTATGCTGGAATTTCTACATTTCCCGCTTCTTGTATGTGGGTTATTTAATGATACTGTCAGTATCCAAACTGTAACGTTGGATGGTAGGATGAATGATGCATTTGAAAGGATGTGGAGGAATGTAGTTATAGCCTAATGGAGGTATTGTCCCGGCATATCCCTAGAGAGACTGAAGAAAACCACAAACAAATCTCAGTCACAGTAGCCAGTATCCCTGCAAAGATTTGAATGAAGCACCACCGAAGTACATTAGATCAGTCTGCTCAGTCATATTCCCTGGTACCATGCAAAACTGTACTGAATATTCTTGTTCACAGATTTTACAGAAATGATGAGAGCTCTTGGATATACTCGTCTGATCTCCATGGAGAACTTCCGCAACCCCAATTTCCAGTTGGTTGCTGAAATATTAATATGGCTAGTGAAGCGGTTTGATCCTGACTCAGACATTCCATCAGAATTTGAAACTGAACAAGACAGGGTCCTACTTGTTAGATCTGCTGCACAGTTCATGGTGAGAAGAGAGAAACCATAACATTGTAGTCTTAGTGTGAATAGCTATAACTGCATGGTCATTCCTGTTTGCTAGAATTGTATAAGCATCATAATACTAAATGATTTATATGTACATGGTTAAATTGTAGAAAAAATTATTAAAGGATTATTAATTTAATCTGAAATATCCCAATAAAATTTAACATTTTTAGCAGTATTCAACCTAAATAGGAGTTTAAAGCCAATGGTTACTATATGTACCACCTTATTTAATGTACTAGAACTCTGCATTCTGCCCATAGAGTGTATCTTTGTGTTTCATATGCTTCTCACCTTAAAGGCTGAGTGTTTCCGTAAACAGCATTAACTACATGATCTTGGGCCATGCAATAGCTCAAGTGGTTAGTCGCTGGCTTCCCACCGCGGTGGCCCGGGTTTGATCCTGGTTCTGGTGAAGTAGGATTTGTGGTCGACAAAGTGGCACTGGGGCAGGTTTTCTGCAAGTACTTCAGTTTTCCCTGCCAATCTTCATTCCACCAATTGCTCCACAATCGCCCTCACCTATCATCTGGGGCTGGTACAATAGGCCAGAAGTGGCCACAGTACAAGGGACTTAGTCCCACCCCACTAGCAATAAAAAATAGGTCCACCCCACTAGCATTAAAAAATAGGTCCACCCAACTAGCATTAAAAAAAGTACATGATCTTTGTAGTGGAGACGTAATGTGTTTCTTGTGAGGTATAAACTGAATTATTATATAATATTTAGTCGAAACAGATTCCTTAAAGGTTTAATGGATGACTAAGGTAACAAGTTTACCACTGTGTCCACCACATCAGTGTAACCACCTGCAGTAATTTATTCGTAAAAACAAAATCAAAAACCAAACGTATCATGTACTGCTACAGTTGTCACTCAGGCACAGAGAAATTTTTAAGGGTAGCTTGTCAACGCACAAAAGAATCAAACCATATAGTGACTTTTTTTCATGTTTCTAGTACATCTTTTTTTTTCCCCTTTTTGACTGTAGCACAAAATCCAATTTTACATTGAAATATTGCCAGCCCAACAGGTAAAATTCCAGTGTCGAAGCATGACAGTATATGTGTTAAGGGTTAAAATATTTCTTTTGCCTGTTTTATATTGTATTTTTGTTCCTTGCTCTTTCATGTGGTATCACCTTACCCCTTCCTTAGCATACACCATGTAATGTTACAGGCATCTAAGGCTAACATCAAACTCAACACAAAGCGTCTCTACCAGGCTGACGGCTATGCTGTCAGAGAGCTGCTCAAGGCAACCTCTGTACTCTACAGTGCTCTGCGAGTCAATGTAACAGCTCTCGGAGATGACACCTCCTCCGTCTCATCCCCTGTTGACATCTCTTCAAAGGTACATTCCTAAAAAGTAAAGTAAAAGTATCCCTGTAACAGGCTGTGGAGGCCCATAGAGTTGTGAGATGTGGTTCCCACATTTTCTAGACCATTAGCTCATGGATGGCGGCAAGGTTGGCAGCCCTACGCACCAGCCACCCTTTACCCCCAAGAATATTCAAAGAATAGTCCTAGTACTCATTTCTGTTAGAGGCTGAGTCGACCCCAGGGCTATAATGCAGCTGAAAGCATTAGGTGAATTGAAAAAATCTAATGATCTCATCAGGACTTGAACCTGCAACCTTCTGCCTTGTAGCATAGTGCCTCAACCAACTACGCCACCAGGTACATTCTTAAAGTAAAGAAAAATCGTCCCTGTGTTTAATTAGTTTAGCATCATGCCGTGAAGTCATGTGGATGTGGGGGGAGTGGAGGTATAGCACCACCTTTCTTGACCATGACACTGGATGTAGGTGAGTGGTCAGCTTCACACCCCTGCCACGTTTCCCCTGGGGAATGATCCCCTGATACCCATCAGATAGGAGGCTGGGTGATCCCCATAGTTGGTCTGCACACTGTGAGGAGAAGAAAAATCTTGCACTGCCAGGAATTGAACCCAGGCCACCCAACCTGTAGCCTATCATTGTATTGACTGAGTTATCCCAACTCCAAAAGTATGTTCCTGGCTGATGTATGCAAGTGGGAAGCTGGGATAATTGTGACCATACTAAAGTCCAAGTAAAACTCTCTTCTTAAGATTTTGTATTTTAGTAACTGAGCTACTGAATCTTATATTACTTTGCTGTTAACATAAAAATTAGGATCATTTAAGAAATGTGTGAGATTTGAGGTTTTCACGCTGGTGACAATGAAGGAGAATATCATCTGGAATGTGATTATGTGTGCTTCAGTAGAAGTTTACCCCCATGTTTGAGGAACTTTCTGCACCCATCTTCAACGCTGATGCATAAGTTGAGGACTCAGCAAGTAGACTAAGCCAGGCATGGAAAAAAGTGGTAAGAGTATAGGCTGTAGTAGGGCCCTTGAGTGAACCAATAGGAGCAAAGAGGAGATCGAAGGAATCGGGTCTTTTAAATTAACAATTTTTTTTTGTCTGAGAGATATGGAAGAAATAGTGGTATGAATGAGCAGTGAGAGGTGTAGGTAGGCCTGGAGAGTAACAGGTGCAGCAGTCAATGTATGGAGCGGATGGTAAGGACAAGCAGTAAGAAGACTTAGTCCTCTAGGTTGTAATGCCACGAACATATATCGAACTACACAGTGTCACATCTCAGATGACTGTACTCTTCATAATCATCACTTACACTTCCACCAGACTTTATGCCATTTTATCCAAGAAGTCAGCGCACTTCAAGTAAAGAACTGGTCAAAGTGAGGTAAATTGCATTATCAAAATATGATATTATACTTTCCATTCAGTGACATCATAAATTACTCTCATAAGTACTTTAATAAATCTGTTAGCTGAAGCACAGTGCATAAGAGGTGATCTATACTATATATGGACAGGATTCAACTCATTCAGGATGGGGTCCATTGGCAGGCTGCTGTGAGCACAGTAAGTAAACTCTTCTTTCGTAAAAGGCGGGTAATTTCTTCGTTAGCTAGTGGGCCATCAGCACCACGGAGTCAAGTTTTTCAGCATGTGAGAATTACAATGATGTGCTTGTGTTCTCAGATCCATGAATTGGCGCAGACCAGGCAACTGACGTCACAGATTACAGCAAAAGGAGCAGGACTGTATGATTTGCTGGGCAAGGAAGTGGAAATGCGGGTAAGTTTAAAGTATTATTTGAGAGGTTCAATTTCTGTCTCTTGCTTCAGAGACTGCCAGTCCTGTCAGGCTTTTTGTAGTCTTCCCCAGTTTGTCCAACAGCTTCCTTTCATGTCCCGTTCAGTTAATAATTCTCTCAGTCATCGAACTGTTCAACATTTCACAAACTAAGCAACCAGTGACATGTCACTAAAAAACAAAAGAATAATCAGCCTGAGAATTACTTAATTTTTGGACATGATATTGAAGTTTTAGTACTGTCACACTACAGGCAACATTTTGATTATTGTATAATAAGATGATTGAAATCAAGTGAAAACTGTTAGTAAGTCAGTTTATAAATATGTTATGTTAATATTGAATTATGTGATGAAAATTGATCCATTTTTCAACATCATCAATTAAAATTTTTGTACATATTTAGAGGTAGCGTAGTTGGTTGAGGGGCTATGCTACAAGCCGGAAGGTCACGGGTTCAAGTCCTGATGAGGTCATTGGATTTTTTCAGTTGACCTAATCATTGCAGCTGCACTATGCCCTGGTGTATACTCAGCCTCTAACAGAAATCAGTACCAGGAATTAATTAAATAATTTTCCTGGGGAGTAAAGTGCGGCCGGCGCGTAAGGCTGACAACCTTTCCGCCATCTGTGAGCCGATTGTCTAGAAAGTGTGGGACCCTCAACGTCTCACAACATCTCACAGCCTGGTACAGGGATGGCTTTACTTTTTTTAGGGGTGAATATACAAAATATTTCCAGTGTTAAAGAATTATTAAAATTTTATAAAATATATTATATTTAAGCATCCTGTTGCACTATACGCTTCTATATGTAATAACACAAATGCCGTCGTGAATGCAACAATTTATTTGGTTGTAGTTCTTTGTCTTTTCTTCCTCTACACTACATGTTTCGGCTGTAACTGGCCATCATCAGGTGTATTTTTCACTACATAGCTAGCACACTGCACACAGTCCAAAAGCTAAAACAACCAGCACCTATAGATTTATAAAATATGTTAAATATGTTATGTTTATATTGAATTATGTGATGAAAATGGATCCATTTTTCAACATCATCATTTAAAATTTCTGTACATATTTAGGAGTGAATATACAAAATATTTCCAGTGTTAAAGAATTATTAAAATTTTATAAAATATGTATATAACATTAAAATTTATGTATGTATAAAACAGTAGCCTGGATGGTGGTTGTAGTGTGCTGTGTTGTGTTTGTTTGTTTGTGTATTGGGGAATGGGGATGATTGTAGGCTGTAGTTTAAATTGTGTGTATAGTTTTTAGACTTTGTCCATTTTCTAATATTGTAAACAGGACATAAAGTTTCCATCATTAGGTGAAATGATAGGCACCTGCATAGATGGGTCACTCATCACTGACCCAGACACCCAGTAATCCTAAATGTAACATTCATCTTGTCTTGGAACAGTTATCACCTCATTACTACCTTCGGTGAAAAAGAGGCGTGAGCAAAGTGGCGTGTGGCTCCCCTCCTGCAGTCATGTGACATGTTGTAGAATTGAACCATTCCAACTGCTTGATGTGAAAGTTGCTATAGATTTTATAGAATTTAGTTCTAAATGTTTGTGACCGTGACCTGCTGTAATGATGTAAGGATGTTCCTTGGATATTTTTCATTGTCTGGAGTTGAGTGACATCTGTATTGTTTCAGAAGTTGACTCTGTCTCCATCTGCAGGTAAAGCCAAGGAGGGAAAGGAATTGTCTGCTCAATTGGGCCCATTAATGAAAATTAATCCTTGTGAATCTGTTCTGAACCTGCAGGAGCTGCGCAATCTGCGCATCAGCCGACAACTCGAGATGGCAGAAGTGGAGGCTTCAGTGCGACAAGCCCTTGAAACGGTGAAGATGGAGATCGCAAATACAAAGCAGCTGATGGAAAATGTTTCTGCCAGTGAGGCCAACCTAGACAGTAAAATTGAGAAAAAGCGAACTGAACTGGAGCGCAACCAGAAGCGCCTGCAGACTCTGAAGAAAGTTAGGTGTGTGCACCCAGAAGAGGGCAGAGATATCATGAAATGTCTATAGATGGAATGCAGAGGACATCTGGATGTTATTGCAGTAGATTTTAATTTTTTCAGATCCAAATATTTCTAATCTGATAGTCGAATGCACTCATTAACTGTTATCATCAATACATTACACTACTGTGGTGGTGTATGCATAGGTCAGTAGGCCAGTAGGATAACTTTCACACATTTCCCTGGGTTTTGCCAGAATGGACCTAACATTCTAATACATGACATTATTAACATTCCTAACACTGGATTCTATAACCCAAATGATTATTCCATGTTTACAGAATCCTATCATTTGTCCCCAGCAAGCTGGAAAATGCGTATCTCTGTAGTGTTTCAATTTTGTGACTCCATTGTACTTCAGAGTCAGAGTGGCTTGGGTGTTTAGGTTTTGCTTTCAGTGTTCTCTCATGATCCCTGCTTATTTATGATTCAGAAATCTCCTCTTTGGTATGACTGCTAATGTGGCCGCGCCATACCTCAAGGGGTTAGTTGCTGGCTTCCCACTGCGGCGGCCCGGGTTCAATCCCGGGTCTGGTCAAGTGGGATTTGTGGTGGACAAAGTGGCGCTGGGGCAGGTTTTCTCCGAGTACTTCGGTTTCCCCTGCCTTCTCAGCCATATAAAAAGGCTGTGACATAGCTCAAGCGGTTAGTCGCTGGCTTCCCCCACTGCGGCCCAGGTTCAATCCCGGGTCTGGTCAAGTGCAATATGTGGTGGACAAAGTGGCGCTGGGGCAGGTTTTCTCTGAGTACTTTGGTTTCCCCTGCCAATCTTCATTCCACCAGTTGCTCCACAATCACCCTCACCTATCATCTGGAGCTGGTACAATTGGCCAAAAGTGGCCGCAGTACAAGGGACTTAAGCCCACCCCATTAGCAATAAAAAAAATGACTGCTAATGCCACTGAAATGAAAGTGTTTTAATGAACTCTAAATTTATATATTTCAATAGCATTTTTATGAAACTGAATTTTTTATAATTTATAATGACCCAAACTCAAACTATGCTGTTAAATATTCTTCTTGCTTGGACTGCTCTAAGAAATGGCACTGATTCATACGACCTTTTGTTGGGTCTCTTAACTCATTAACACTTTGTTTCATAACAGGAAGCAGGCCAGTTTTTGTGTCTTGATGTTTACCTCAGCATCAGGGCACTGTCATTGCTTACAAACATTTGGTTCAAGATTTCAGGGCTTTGTTTTATCATGAGATGATGGAACTGCAGGTACACTTTAGAACAAGAAGCTTGGAGCTACTGACTGGTGTAAAGTTCATATTAATCATATTGGTAGTTGTTTGTCTGTGAATCTTTGAATATTGCATTATTACTATTACTAGCGTTGGTGTCTTGATGAGCCAAGATGGGAAGCGTTAATGTAAGCGTGTATGTGTTTGTGCATGCAGGCCAGCATTCATGGAGGAGTTTGAACGTTTGGAAGTGGAGTTACAGCAGCTGTACCAGGATTACTTGGTTCGGTTCCGGTGTCTGGCATATTTGGAGCAGCAGCAAGATGATGCAGAACAGGCAGAACACGAGCGTATGCAGGCAAGACAGGTAACAAAAGTGTTCAAATGCAAGAAATTACATCAAGTGATGGGCTAGAAATTATTGCACTGCAGTAGAACTGAGTTCATTTCAGTCACTGGGTTCATTCTGTAATAATTTTTGGTGAAATAATATTGGCATGCTTTCATGACTAGAGATACAGGGTTTGGATTGCTAATTGGATTTATTTGACTCTTTGTAAATGCATTCCTACAGGTAACAACTGTTTCATGGATCTGCACACACACACACACACACACACACACTAACAGTTACTGTAAATACATCAACATAAAGACGTTTATGTCTTCACTAGCTGTTGTGTGATAATGGTCCTCACCAGTGTAGATACCTCAGCTTTTGTACTAATGTCCTTAACCCTTTCACTGCTAGTATGATAAGTAACTCTCGGTACCCTCTGTGCTGAATTATTATTGAATAAATCTTTTATAAATAATTTAAATGTAAAGTATGAAAATGTGGATAAAATGTAACCGAGAACAGGCAGCAGAAGTTGCAAAAATGTTGGAATTATTCAGTATTTTTCATGGGGGAAAAGTCCATTTAAATCAGGGTTGTCCAAGATGGCCAAAAAAAAGTACATAATTCACTATCCTAGAATCACTGTAATTATATCACAGTCTTATCACTATGTCACATGTTGAACAAAGTCCACAACTTTATTTAAAACTATTATAGAAAGCACCACGCACTATACGAAGCCATTTTTACTGGCCCTGTGAAAAACCCGCATCACATGACAATGGAGCGCGTGCCTCGCCGTGCAGATGCAACCTTTTACATTTTGTAAGCTAGAGGGCAGAAGAATGCAGCCATTGAAATGAGTGATGCTTCATTACGTTCCCAGTAGATGACTCTATGCACCTGCCAAGTTCGAATGACATTGTTGCAAAGAAACCTGAGATTTGAAACTCTAAAGTTGCAGTACGGGTTTTGTCGATCGCAGCAAGGACGCCATGTTTTTCAGAGATTGCACATGTCGACCGCAGCAGTGTAAGGGTTAATGGCTAGTGACTGGCAACTGATCATACCTGCAACTAAGTAACCCTGTTTCTCGTCACTACATAGCCTTGGGTTGGACCACATAGAAAATGCCACCACCTACAGCTCCTCTATTGCTGTGTGTTACATTGCCTAGTGATAGCCTGCTTGTTTGATGACACAGGAACATTTTTACTGTGCCATTGCCTAGCAGTGGATAACGTTTCTTGTTAAACTGTTCCACCTTGTCACAGTATGTTAGTCATGTTCATTGTTAACAAGTCCTTTTGTCTAATATGGCATTTTTATTGTGAGTGTTGAATTTTGGAAAAACTTCTTTCCCTAATTGTTCTTACAGACTTAATTTCAGGTTATTTTCTAACACAAGAATCTATTTGGTTACTGTATGTAAGAACTGATGTAAATTTATTAATATCAACTTAACTCTGTGTTTATATTCTCCCAGACCTCCACCTTGATTTGGGAGAAATGTGATATAAATTCTATGCTTGTAGCAAAACTTTACAACACAGCTTTTCTCCAAATTAGGTGATTTTCACTTATCATGAATTATACATATTCATGATGTCATGTGAACTTTTTTAAGTAATTATTTTACTGGAAACTAAAAAATAATAAAATTGTTTACCCAAGAAAAGAATTGAATGACATTAGTGTTAATTAAATTATGTAGTTTTCAATAAAAATGAAAGGCAGTGAAATCGAACAAGGTGCATTCAGAGTTACATGATCACTCTTGTGTAATACAGTTATTGCTTAACTCAGGGGATATATGTATTTTGTTATTTATAACTCAGTCAGTATAGTGACAGGCCATAGGCTGGATGGCAGGGGTAAGAAATTCTTCTCCACAGCATCCAGACCAGCACTGGGGCCCATCCAGCCTCCTCTCCAATGGGTATTGGGGCTCTTTCCCTGGAGCTAAAGCTGCCAGGCCATGAATTTGACCGCTCACCTCCATCTGGCGTCAATGACAAGAATGGTGGAGCTATACCCCACTCCCCCATGTGCCTTCATGGTGTGATGCATAACTAATTAAACTCAGGGACAGCTTTTAATATATTTCTGGAAAGAAAAAACAAGTGTAATTAACTGACTTCTGAAGAATGAAAGTGCCATATAGTGCAGATATAGTGCATGTATACACTAAAGTGATATGTCACAGGCTCACACGAAGAAACTGCTGGAGCAGATGCGGCAGGAAGATAGGTCTCTTGATGGCTCAGGGGACCTGTTTGAGCCAGGAGAGGTTAAAGATGGAGATGAGATTTCAAAGCTGGGTGTTGGGAAGGCAAGTCGTGTGAGAATCAAGACTGCATCAGGAGGTGAGTTGTAATTTTCACATGTTCCGTCATGAGAATTGTCAAGAAGAATGTCACCACCATGCAGACAGGAACACAACAAGAATATAAACCTTGAATTATATTGGGAGAGGTCATGAAAGAAAATTTTCCACTGTACTTGTATAATGGGTTGTTTGAATACATGTACAGGAAAGGAAAATATTTGATGTGCTGATTGTAAGGTTTTGAATGTTTTTTTTTTATTCTTAGTGGGGTGGGACTAAGTCCCTTGTAGTGCGGCCACTTCTGGCCTATTGTACCAGCCCCAGATGATAGGTGAGTGTGACTGTGGAGCAATTGGTGGAATGAAGATTGGCAGGGGAAACCGAAGTACTCGGAGAATACCTGCCCCAGCGCCCCTTTGTCCACCACAAATCCCACTTGACCAGACCCAGGATCGAACCCAGGCCGCCGCAGTGGGAAGCCAGTGACTAACCACTTGAGCCATGGTGCAGCCCCATTTTGAATGTTATTAGGCGATGATGAAGGTTTTGAGCATGAACATAAAGAAAAGTGCCCAAGAGGAAAACCAAGATCACAGTGGGAATGACAGGTTAGGAAAGATGTCATACAGAATGAAGAGAGAATATTAGGGGAAACAGAGGAATTGCTTTTGGAGGATGGGTGGAGAGACTTTGTTGCTAAGCGACCCACATGAAAGGAAGAAGAAGTAGATGATGTGAGTGGTAGTGTGAGACTGAGGGTTCGTGGAAACACAATACAAATATTCATTCTTGTCTTCATCCTTTTCTGCTTCTAGTGAAAAATTTGAAAAAGTCTGTGTGTTAGCTTCCCCATATCTGTCTATCCATCCATCTCATATAACAACTCAAGAACAACTGAACAGTTTTTTGTGAACTTTGATACTGGCAAGAGTTACTGTAGCTTGTTTATGCTTCTAATTTTGATTAAAAGCAAACAAAAATAGCAGGCACTTTATACAAAGTCCTGTGTGCACTTCTGCATGCATCTGAATTTTCACCACTAAATGTTTATCTGAACGAAAAATGTACAGTAAAACCATTTTATATCCAAAAACCTTTTCCATAAGCTGTATAGTTTTTAAGTCACTGAACACTGGGATTTTTTACAGTATGCATACTTTTTCTGAGCAACTGAATGCACCAGAAATTGTATACGGTGTATACATTTTATAATTTTTTATTAATTCTTTTGATATTTATATGTTTGGGGCATGTGGTAGCGTAGTTGGTTGAGGCACTGTGCTACAAGCCGGAAGGTCGCGGGTTCAAATCCCGATGAGGTCATTGGATTTTTTCAGTTGACCTAATCATCCTGGCCGCACTATGGCCATGGGGTCGACTCAGCCTCTGACAGAAATGAGTATCAGGAATTAACTAAATAATTATCCTGGGGAGTAAAGCGCGGACGATGCGTAAGTCTGACAACCTTACCGCCATCTTTGAGCTGATTGTCTAGATAATGTGGGACCCTCGTCTTACAACCCTATGGGCCTTCACGGCCTGTTACAGGGATAGCTTTACTTATTTATACATTGATTTCCTTCAAATTCATTGTTTTCAAAGTATGTTTGAGCTTTAATTAATATTATATTATTGTTTGAAACATACCTGTGTCTTGGTAATAGCTGAAATTGAAAATTAATTTAAGTACCTTGTTGTATACCATTCTTAGCTGAATTGGACACATTCCTATAAAATGTGAGGTATAGAAATATAGATTGGAAATTGTGGGAGAATTAATGAATTTAGTGAATCTCAATGGGAATGGCTTCTTGAGTACTAAATCAGGACTTTCATGGAATGGGGATTATGCAAAATTGCTTCAGGAAACTGTTCATCTGTCAGATCTTACACTGAATGTGTATACTTATAAAATAATTTCTTTACACAAGTAGTTTAAGAAACTGTTTCTATGCAAGTAAATACATTTACATAGTTAATGATATCAAATTATGCTGGATATGAGGTTCTCACCATGGTTGCTGTGAGCAGTTCTGTTTTCTAGGATATAACTTTGTGTAGACTGGTGAGAGGCAATTAACATTTCGGACAAACTTACCATCTCTGTCTTTAAAGTTGAAGAATATGCAAAGCAAGTAACCAGCATAAAGTAGGCAGGAAGCAGTGCCTGCTTCTTGCTTATTTCTTGCTTGACTTACTCTTCAACCCTGAAGGGGTAGGCAGTACATTCCTCCAAAAATCAGTTGACTTTCACGAGACTGCACAGCGTTATATCCCAAGAGATGGAAATTTTTATAGAATTCTTATTATTAAATTAGTTTCTAAAGTATTAAATGTCATCTGGAATAAGCACATTGGTTGTGCAAGAATGGTTTCCTGCATGGAGGACATGTGGATGTTGATTCTTGTTTCACACACACCAAACTGATGTACAAGTTCTGGAAGAAAAAATGTCCATACACCAAATGAGGCTTTTGACTAAACCAGAATTCACGAAATGCAGGAAATGAAGTCATTGTTTACAATGGGCTTCAGCTGGGACCAGAAAAATGTATACAACGAATACAGGATTTCTATGAATATTTAACTGGGATTTCACTATATTAAAGCAGTGGAACCTCCATTTAATATTTCTAGATTTAAGGTTTGCACTCATTTAATATTCAATTTAATTGATCCCAAGTCAATAATCTCATTGTTAAATTTCCTCGTTTTAAGACTCTCCTCAGTTTAGTTCAAATCCAGTGCTCTCCAGAGGAAACACTGAACATCATGCTGCCAACCTGTGTTTCAGTGATGCGCAAAGCGTCTGCAGCAGGCCAACAGACACGCCGTGTGTTTGGCAGCATGAACGCACCACCCGATGAAGACGACGATTCTGGCAGCCTGGATTCGGACTCTGATTTGCTGCTTGATGGAGAGGGCTCAGAGTTATTGGGCAGTGAGGAAGAGGATGAGGTTGAGGTGGATGTCGCAGTGAACAAGGACAAGAAGAGTACAAGCAGGGTGCATCAGGAGCACAGCGATGATGACTTCTGAAAATACCAAGTTCTTTGGAATTACCCATGCCATTCAGTCATCACTCATCATGCACCTAGAATTAGATGCCACTGCTTCCTGTTTAGCATTTTCTTCACTGCATAGCTGTGTTGGTATGCAATACAGTTTCCCTTTTGTAAAATCTGTTATTTCAAGTGACAGACGTTGCAGTCAGTAGACACCATGTGTGATGAGTATGGTCCTCTCTGATGACACACTGTGTAGTTCAGTAGTGAAGTAAAGTCCCCTGTGCTTAACTAATTAAGCACTTTGGGAGCAGCCCTGTGAAAGTCCCATGTTATTGGTGGGCAACATGGCCGCCATGACACCACGGTTCAGTGCTGCTGCTATCTCTACGCATCCTACATTAACTAAATTTAAAATGGCCGACAGGGGCCGAGAGCACAATCGGTAAGAAGGTATGCTAACATAGCAACTATTTTGAGTGCTCCCCCCCCCCAAATGCTTTGTTCGTTAGAATAGCAAGAAATACTTTTACAACCAGATCTCATGTACTGCAGAGGTCCCCCCCATAACCTATTTCTATTTTTGAACTGTGTTCAGTATCACTATTCAAGGAGGATGAGGTTGGCAGGGCATGTAGCATGAATGGGGGAGGCAAGGAATGCATATAGGATATTGGTGGCAAAGCCAGAAGGAAAGAGACTACTGGGAAGACCAAGGTGGGTGGTCAATATTAAAATATATCCTAGAGAGATAGGATGGTATGGGCAGAAATAATAACATATCTTAAAGAAATATAATGAATACTGAAAATCTGGTATCTATTCATTTTCCAGTTCAGTAATGGAAAGGTTTATATGGCAAAAGTAACATATCTTACAAAAAAATGTAACGAATACTGAAAATCTGGTCTCTGTNAGGAATGCATATAGGATATTGGTGGCAAAGCCAGAAGGAAAGAGACTACTGGGAAGACCAAGGTGGGTGGTCAATATTAAAATATATCCTAGAGAGATAGGATGGTATGGGCAGAAATAATAACATATCTTAAAGAAATATAATGAATACTGAAAATCTGGTATCTATTCATTTTCCAGTTCAGTAATGGAAAGGTTTATATGGCAAAAGTAACATATCTTACAAAAAAATGTAACGAATACTGAAAATCTGGTCTCTGTTATTCCAGTTCAGTAATGGAAAGGTTTATATGGCAAAAGTAACATACAACTTGTATGTAACTTGTATCTTACAAAAAATGTAATGAATACTGAAAATCTGGTATCTATTCAGCTTCCAGTTCAGTATTGGATACGATTATATAGCAAAAATTAATAATATATTGTGACATGGATGGCGCAATGCTCGGTAAACACCCCCTCCCCTTCCAGCAGTGACGTAACATCATTGGAGCAACTGCCGTTGCTACGGTAACAGGCCAGTCAACACTCCGTACCCCTCCACCGTGATTACTACGTAGCAATAATCAGCAGCATTCCCCAGCAACGCCTGTAAACACGACGTTACGCAACAGTGGTGGCTATCACGTTACTGTTTTCTGTGTTGTCAGTGCGGAAGCTATGTAATGAGGTGTATTTGTCAGAGTAACCAGTCAGTTGCAGTTGCATCCGCTCTAACGCCCTTTAGTTTCTGATGTTGGTTGGGTTCCGGTGGCAATGAAAGTCTTCCTCAGGATCGTTTACGGGTCTTGGATTATGAGACAAAGGGTAATGATAATGGGACTGCACACATTACAATTGCTTACTGGTTTAATATATTATTTGCAGAACACGTCTATCCGTCGGAATGACCAAATTAGAAGTCCTCTTTGAAGCTTGGACTATATCCTTGAGTTTGGGGACATTAATTCTCCCACCCTCGCAGATATGTCTTCATCGCTTCTCATTCGATTATTCAAACGGAAGGCGGGTGTTACAACTTTGAATCCTCCAATACCCTCTCACAATTATATCTTCGAAGCCGCTGGTCCAGCGATATTCCCAACGATTCCTGAGACCTCGCTGGACTGCAGCTGCGAAGTGTAATATTTCAAACGATGAGCGGCATCCTTTGCTCATATATATATATATATTTATATTGGCTTCACATAACAACTGACACTATGGCACCACTATTCCGTGCCGCAGGGATATAGGTGTCAGTTGTTTATACGCCGCTTACACCAAGTCTTACTCTTAATATTCCAATTTAATCACTAGCTTAAATTGGACGACTTCACAGTCTAGCATTCACTGGAGTGAGTTGAAGTCCACTGTTATTGAGTTGTATCGAGTGAATGGCAGTGACGCCAGCAGGAGAAGTAATTGTGATATGGCCGATGGCAGTAATTGTATAATTGTGAACTGTATAAGTGTAAGAGCGAGTGTTCAATAAATTCGCTACATCCAAGATGGTGTGAAGTTATTTGTCATGTGACATTCCCAACATGTGACAGTATCTTAAAGAAATGCAATTACTATTGAAAATCTTATGTTCATATTTGCCAGTTCAGTACAGGTAGGATTATACGGCAAAAGTAAGAGAAGGAATACACCTATAACAACAAAAGTGAATAACAGTGTAATGAAAATGAAATAGGTAAAGAAATTACATAAATACCGTATTTACGCATGTATAGACCGCACATTTTTTACCAAAAATTCAAGAGGAAAACTGGGGTGCGGCTTATATTCGAAATCACACTTCATTTAAAAAAAAATTATATCCATAATTAGTAATACAGGGTGTTCTACTCCTGAAATAATATTCCAAGGAAATTTTTTTTCCTATAATTTTGGTCTGAAAATTGTGCTGCGGCCTATACATGCGTAAATACGGTAGTCCTACCCACATTCAATCCTGATAATGATTCTGCTTCTCAGCGTTTCACACCGAGGTGGATAATCTGAACTTTGCTAGTCAGTTATAAAGTAACGCCTCTTCATTCTTACCTACACATAAACAAGACCCATGTGTGTCAGAAAACAATTTCCCACACAATTCTTAATTGAAATTTAATTACTTGAAGATAACAACAGTAAAGAACCAAGGGCATGTCAGTCACAGGAGAGGAATACAAAGGGTATTTTGGTAGGATAAATTGAAGGATCTGTTGGGGATACAAATAGAATATTTAGATGGATGTTGGGAGAAATGGAGCCAAGGGGGCGGGGTGTGGACAGGATTCTTTTATTATAATTTTTATTGAAGTGAGAGACCATTATAGTAGTACCAATCCTAGATGATGGTGATTGTAGAGCAGTTGGTGGAACGAAAATTGGCAGGGGAAATGGTAGTTGGAGAAAATCTGTCCAAATGCCACATTGTGTCCACCACAAATCCCACATGACGAGGCCCGGGAAGCTAGCGCAGGAGTTGTGTAGTTCAGAATAAGGGGCAGTGAGTTCTGTGAGAACAATGCAGTGATGTCGTGGGTTCCATGAAATGGTTATTTCTTCGGGCACTGAGCAGCTATTTGCAGAGAGTCAGCACAATGAACTTGGTCCTCATGTATGCCATCAAGGTAGAATTCGGTACCTGTTGGCAATAATGAATTTCGTGGCTGTAAATGTACAGGTGGGCAGCTATACGACGCAGTGGAGATTTCTCTGCGGCCAGGGACCATACAACAGTGTGTATAAGTTCAAATTAAAATTTCCATTAGTATAATGAAGCCTATTAGCACATGTTTGCTGTGAGAAAATTCAGAGTGTCGGTCGAAGGGAAAACTTTTGTGCCAAGAGAAAAGGAGTGCCATGCATTGTACAGCGTATGTATGTATAAATGAACCTCCCCCCCTCAAAAATACTAGTGCTGCTGGCACCTATGTATATGCGACTGAGAGCAAAAAAGGGTATGTTCTCAGAATGCTGCAGTGAGATCTGGATGCAATTGAGACGCAGTGTGAGTGCTGGAACAAAAGAAATGAAATTTTATGTCAAGAGAGTTAGATTGGTTGGGTGTCATCTCATATTGAATGGATGAAGAACCCCCTTCGTGAGTCATGTACATCTGTATATTTTTTCGGTAGGAGGATTAGATGTAGAAATGATCTAAGCCAATGCATTCACAACATTTATTAGAGCATGTCCTTCATTGAAAAGCGAGCGATTAAGCTCTAAGATGAAATATGCCATCCTCAGAGCATTATTTATGTCTGTGATGTTGTATGCTTGCCTTGGGATTTGTGGCAAATACCCAAGTTTCGAAAGTGCAGCAATTATTGATCAAGGTTCTCGCAACAACACCAATATCTCAAGGCGTAGAGCGGTCAGCAACCACAAGCCACAGAAGATGGTGAAAATGCAAATATTCAGAATACTGGATAAGGTGAAGCCTGACAGAACAAAAGGCTTAAATTTTGTGGCGGTGAAGCTTACAATGTGTATGATCGTTGAGGTGACTAAATTGCCGGTCTAGCGTGAGCTAATGAAAATAAGGCAGAATCTGTTGTGAACTGACAGGGGGCTTACATAGTATATTGCCAATAAAGCCATGTGCAGTATATATGTATGGTTGTAGAGGTCATGACATGTAGTTTAGAGGAGGATGGATGAAATATAGAAAGTAACTGACTCTGACAAGTGAGAAGGGATAGACCCGTCTTGTCATCAGAAAAGATTTGTATTAAAGGCCAAACAGTGAAGCTTACTTCAAGACTAAGATCTGGTTATGAGCGTCAGAATTGGCTCTAAATTAAGAGAAAGTGAGTGGCAAACAGACAGTCATAAAACGACTTTGAAACGAAGCAAGAAGTAAAGAGGAATTTTGTAGAAACGAAGCGGTAGGATATGTGGAAGACGAAGGCGAATATTTGTCATAATCATGGTGGGCCTTTAGTAAGGCACTGGTGTATGGTTTAGAAGTTACGTGGTTCAAAGACATGGCTATTTTTGTGAGAAAAAGAATGTAATAAAGTTGTGTCTTTTGTAAATAGAAATTGAAAAGTGAATAAATAAATACGATTTTTCTGCAGTTATAAACCAAGTTGTATAATATAAGGACAATCGCAGACTATTCCCCATAGGTGGTCTGCTGGCCTAGAGGTAAGGCACTGGCTTTGTAAACATAACCTTGGTGGTTCGAATACAGAAGTATTTTTGTAATGAGATTTTTATGGAATTATATAGCGAAATATAACATAAGAGGAAGATTAAAGGTCTAAAATTTCCGTGGCCTTGGTGGCCTATTGGTAAAACACCGGCGCAGTAAAGCGAAGTTTGTAGGTTCGAGTTTTGTGAGTTAGAAAATAAATTAATTCATTTTTCTGGAATTATAACCGAAGGTGTAGCTTAAGAGGAAGATAAAAGAAAGTAAATTTCAGTGGCGCTGGTGGTCTAGGGGTAAGACATGAGCTTAGTGTTCAGAAGGTCCCTGGTTCAAAACCAGTAGGATTTTTGTGAAAAAAAAATTAAAAGAAGTCAGGAGATAGGGTAAAGGAGGAAGGATAGATAGACGGAGGGACTGGGGCGAGGCAAGATTTTTTTTCTTTTTGCGGCCGCTTCATTAAGACACTCCCCTAAGTGGGGTTTATTAAAATCCACATGGGATCAAAAATAAAAAAATTTTGGCCCACCGTCCGCCCACCAACCACCCACCCTTAG